CTGTGTATCTGTCTTCCCTGCTGTATTCTAGTCTTCCCGCTGTATTTTGTCTTCCCTGCTGTATCTTGTCTTTCCTGCTGTACCTTTCCCTGTGTATCTGCTTCCCCTGCTGTATCTGTTTCCCTGCGTTCTGTCTTCCCTCTGATTCTTGTCTTCCTCTGTATCTGTCTTCCCTGCTGTATCTGTCTCCCTGCTGTATTTAGTCTTCCTGCTGTATTTGCTTCCCTGTGTATCTAGTCTTCCCTGTGTATTCTAGTCTTCCCTGCTGTATCTAGTCTTCCTGCTGTATTTGTCTTCCCTGCTGTATTCTAGTCTTCCCTGCTGTATTCTATCTTCCCTCTGTATTCTAGTCCTTCCTGTGTATTCTAGTCTTCCCTGCTGTATTCTAGTCTTCCCTGCTGTATTCTAGTCTTCCCTGCTGTATTATAGTCTTCCCTGCTGTATTCTAGTCTTCCCTGCTGTATTCTAGTCTTCCCTGTTGTATTCTAGTCTTCTCTGTTGTATTCTAGTCTTCCCTGTTGTATTCTTGTCTTCCCTGTTGTATTCTAGTCTTCCGTCTTGTATTCTAGTCTTCTCTGTTGTATTCTAGTCTTCCCTGTTGTATTCTAGTCTTCCCTGTTGTATTCTAGTCTTCCCTGTTGTATTCTAGTCTTCCCTCTTGTATTCTAGTCTTCCCTGTTGTATTTTAGTCTTCCCTGTTGTATTCTAGTTTTCCCTGTTGTATTCTAGTCTTCCCTGTTGTATTCTAGTCTTCCCTGTTGTATTCTAGTCTTCCCTGTTGTGTTCTAGTCTTCCCTCTTGTATTCTAGTCTTCCCTGTTGTATTCTAGTCTTCCCTGTTGCATTCTAGTTTTCCCTCTTGTATTCTAGTCTTCCCTGTTGTATTCTAGTCTTCCCTGTTGTATCCTTGTCTTCCCTGTTGTATTCTAGTCTTCCCTGTTGTATTCCAGTCTTCCCTGTTGTATTCTAGTCTTACCTGTTGTATTCTAGTTTTCCCTGTTGTATTCTAGTCTTCCCTGTTGTATCCTTGTCTTCCCTGTTGTATTCTAGTTTTGCCTGTTGTATCCTTGTCTTCCCTGTTGCATTATAGTCTTCCCTGTTGTATTCTAGTCTTTCCTGTTGTATTCTAGTCTTCTCTGCTGTATTCTAGTCTTCCCTGTTGTATTCTAGTCTTCCCTGCTGTATTCTAGTCTTCCCTGCTGTATTCTAGTCTTCCCTGCTGTATTCTAGTCTTCCTTGCTGTATTCTAGTCTTCCCTGCTGTATTCTAGTCTTCCCTGCTGTATTCTAGTCTTCTCTGCTGTATTCTAGTCTTCCCTTTTGTATTCTAGTCTTCCCTGCTGTATCCTTGTCTTCCCTGCTGTATTCTAGTCTTCCCTGCTGTATCCTTGTCTTCCCTGCTGTATCCTTGTCTTCCCTGCTTTATCTTTGTCTTCCCTGCTGTATTCTGTATCCTTGTCTTCCTGCTGTATCATTGTCTTCCCTGCTGTATCCTTGTCTTCCCTGCTGTATCCTTGTCTTCCCTGCTGTATCCTTGTCTTCCCTGTTATATTCTAGTCTTCTCTGCTGTATTCTAGTCTTCCCTGCTGTATCCTTGTCTTCCCTGCTGTATCCTTGTCTTCCCTGCTTTATCCTTGTCTTTCCTGCTGTATTCTTGTCTTCCCTGCTGTATCCTTGTCTTCCCTGCTGTATCCTTGTCTTCTCTCCTGTATCCTTGTCTTCCCAGCTGTATCCTTGTCTTCCCTGCTGCATCCTTGTCTTCCCTGCTGTATCCTTGTCTTCTCTGCTGTATCCTTGTGTTCCCTGCTGTATCCTTGTCTTCCCTGCTGTATTCTAGTCTTCCCTTCTGTATTCTAGTCTTCCCGGTTGTATTCTAGTCTTCCCTGCTGTATTCTAGCCTTCCCTGCTGTATCCTTGTCTTCCCTGCTGTATCCTTGTCTTCCCTGCTGTATTCTAGTCTTCCCTGCTGTATTCTAGTCTTCCCTGCTGTATCCATGTCTTCCCTGCTGTATTCTAGTCTTCCCTGCTGTATCCTTGTCTTCCCTGCTGTATCCTTGTCTTTCCTGCTTTATCCTTGTCTTCCCTGCTGTATTCTAGTCTTCCCTGCTGTATGCTTGCCTTCCCTGCTGTATCCTTGTCTTCCCTGCTGTATCCTTGTCTTCCCTGCTGTATCCTTGTCTTCCCTGCTGTATCCTTGTCTTACCTGCTGTATCCTTGTCTTCCCTGCTGCATCCTTGTCTTCCCTGCTGTATCCTTGTCTTCTCTGCTTTATCCTTGTCTTCCCTGCCGTATTCTAGTCTTCCCTGTTGTATTCTAGTCTTCCCTGCTGTATTCTAGTCTTCCCTGCTCTATCCTTGTCTTCCCTGCTGTATTCTAGTCTTCCCTGCTCTATTCTAGTCTTCTCTGCTGTATCCTTGTCTTCCCTGCTGTATTCTAGTCTTCCCTGCTGTATCTTTGTCTTCCCTGCTGTATCCTTGTCTTTCCTGCTGTATCCTTCTCTTCTCTGTTGTATCCTTGTCTTCCCTGCTGTATCCTTGTTTTCCCTGCTGTATCCTTGTCTTCCCTCCTGCATCCTTGTCTTCCGTGCTGTATCCTTGTCTTCCCTGCTGTATCCTTGTCTTCCCTGCTGTATTATAGTCTTTACTGCTGTGTTATAGTCTTCCCTGTTGTATTCTAGTCTTCCCTGTTGTATTCTAGTCTTCCCTGCTGAATCCTTGTCTTCCCTGCTGTAATCTTGTCTTCCCTGCTGTATTCTAGTCTTCCCTGCTGTATTCTAATCTTCCCTCTTGTATTCTAGCCTTCCCTGTTGTATTCTAGTCTTCCCTGCTGTATTCTAGTCTTCCCTCTTGTATTCTAGCCTTCCCTGTTGTATTCTAGTCTTCCCTGCTGTATTCTAGTCTTTCCTGCTGTATCCTTGTCTTCCCCTGCTTTATTCTAGTTTTCTCTGCTGTATTCTAGTCTTTCTTGCTGTATCCTTGTCTTCCCTGCTGTATCCTTGTCTTCCCTGCTGTATTCTTTTCTTCTCTGCTGTATTCTAGTCTTCCCTGCTGTATCCTTGTCTTCCCTGCTGTATCCTTGTTTTTCCCTGCTGTATTCTTTTTCTTCTCTGCTGTATTCTAGTCTTCCCTGCTGTATCCTTATCTTCCCTGCTGTATCCTTGTCTTTCCTGCTGTGTTCTTGTCTTCCCTGCTGTATTCTAGACATCCCTGCTGTATTCTAGTCTTCCCTGCTGTATCCTTGTCTTCCCTGCTGTATCCTTGTCTTCCCTGCTGTATCCTTGTCTTCCCTGCTGTATCCTTGTCTTCCCTGCTGTGTCCTTGCTTCCCTGCTGTATTCTAGTCTTCCCTGCTGTATCCTTGTCTTCCCTGCTGTATCCTTGTCTTCCTTGCTGTATCCTTGTCTTCCCTGCTGTATCCTTGTCTTCCCTGCTGTATCCTTGTCTTCCCTGCTGTATCCTTGTCTTCCTTGCTGTATCCTTGTCTTCCCTGCTGTATTCTAGTCTTCCCTGTTGTATTCTAGTCTTCCCTGTTGTATTCTAGTCTTCCCTGTTGTATTCTAGTCTTCCCTGCTGTATCCTTGTCTTCCCTGCTGTATCCTTGTCTTCCTGCTGTATCTTGTCTTCCCTGCTGTATTCTTGTCTTCCCTGCTGTATTCTAGTCTTCTCTGTTGTATTCTAGTCTTCTCTGTTGTATTCTAGTCTTCCCTGCTGTGTTCTAGTCTTCCTTGCTGTATTCTAGTATTCCCTGTTGTATTCTAGTGTTCCCTGTTGTATTCTCGTCCTCCCTGCCGTATTCTAGTCTTCCCTGCTATATTCTAGTCTTACCTGATGTATTCTAGTCTTCCCTGCTGTATTCTAGTCTTCCCTGTTTTATTCTAGTCTTCCCTGTTGTATTCTTGTCTTCCCTGCTGTACTCTAGTCTTCTCTGCTGTATTCTCGTCTTCCCTGTTGTATTCTAGTCTTCCCTGTTGTATTCTCGTCTTCCCTGTTGTATTCTAGTCTTCCCTGCTGTATTCTAGTCTTCCCTGCTGTATTCTAGTCTTTCCTGTTGTATTCTAGTTTTCCCTGTTGTATTCTAGTCTTCCATGTTGTATTCTCGTCTTCCCTGTGTATTCTAGTCTTTCCTGGTGTATTCTAGTCTTCTCTGGTGTATTCTAGTCTTCTCTGGTGTATTCTAGTCTTCTCTGGTGTATTCTAGTCTTCTCAGGTGTATTCTAGTCTTCTCTGGTGTATTCTAGTCTTCTCTGGTGTATTCTAGTCTTCTCTGGTGTATTCTAGTCTTCTCTGGTGTATTCTAGTCTTCTCTGCTGTATTCTAGTCTTCTCTGGTGTATTCTAGTCTTCTCTGGTGTATTCTAGTCTTCTCTGGTGTATTCTAGTCTTCTCTGGTGTATTCTAGTCTTCTCTGGTGTATTCTAGTCTTCCCTGCTGTATTTTAGTCTTCCCTGCTGTATTTTAGTCTTCCCTGCTGTATTCTAGTCTTCTCTGCTGTATTCTAGTCTTCTCTGGTGTATTCTAGTCTTCTCTGGTGTATTCTAGTCTTCTCTGGTGTATTCTAGTCTTCTCTGGTGTATTCTAGTCTTCTCTGGTGTATTCTAGTCTTCCCTGCTGTATTTTAGTCTTCCCTGCTGTATTTTAGTCTTCCCTTCTGTATTCTAGTCTTCTCTGGTGTATTCTAGTCTTCTCTGGTGTATTCTAGTCTTCTCTGGTGTATTCTAGTCTTCCCTGCTGTATTTTAGTCTTCCCTGCTGTATTCTAGTCTTCCCTGCTGTTTTCTTCTCCACTCACTATTGCATCTCTTCGTTTCTTACAATGTTGTCTCTTCCACCTTTGATATAATATTAATTATTTTTCGTCATTTGTCTCCCATTATCTTCTGTACCGACTTTCACTTGCTTACGTTACTTCCGCTTAATTATCCATTACTTCTGAGATTTCCGCTCCTCCTTCCTCTGGATTACCTTCGGCTACTTTCGTTCTTCCTTTAGACAAGTACACTCATCAGGTGCCAGATTAACCAGGCTGTGATGGATATGGTGTTCAGCGGAGCACCAACAGCAACAGCCTGGTTGACCAGGCAAGCACTAGACGAGCCGTGCAAAGCAAATGACCTCGTAAGTAACTGGTCCAAGATATCTCGGAGCCCGGTCTTGGGCCAGGATCATCTGGTACTTGCTTGGTCAACCAGGCAGTTGCTGTTGATGGCCTGCATATCCCTCAGAGGATATGTGGGTCATCGGAACACCAACAACAACAGCTTGGTCTCCGGGACTAGAAAAACTCTCTGACCAGTAACTTACGAGATCAAAGGTAAATCCCATCTCACGAAATCGTAATAACATTATTGCAAAGACATCAGGCAACGGGTTGGACTCGAACTCATGGCAAGTGGGTCCTAAAATACATCTGATGTTTCCCGGTGGAAACATCAGCTACGTTAAGATATCTTGTAGATGTACGCTTCAATAAATCTACCACAACCCAACTAAATAAGAAATGCGAAGATAGGTCAAATGCTCTAATGGTGCTAATGTTGCTGCTACAACCTCAGCTATGGTGCTAATGTTGCTGCTACAACCTCAACTATGGTGCTAATGTTGCTGCTACAACCTCAACTATGGTGCTAATGTTGCTGGCTACAACCTCAACTATGGTGCTAATGTTGCTGCTACAACCTCAGCTATGGTGCTAATGTTGCTGGCTACAACCTCAACTATGGTGCTAATGTTGCTGGCTACAACCTCAACTATGGTGCTAATGTTGCTGCTACAACCTCAACTATGGTGCTAATGTTGCTGGCTACAACCTCAACTATGGTGCTAATGTTGCTGCTACAACCTCAACTATGGTGCTAATGTTGCTGCTACAACCTCAGCTATGGTGCTAATGTTGCTGCTACAACCTCAACTATGGTGCTAATGTTGCTGCTACAACCTCAGCTATGGTGCTAATGTTGCTGCTACAACCTCAACTATGGTGCTAATGTTGCTGCTACAACCTCAACTATGGTGCTAATGTTGCTGCTACAACCTCAGCTATGGTGCTAATGTTGCTGCTACAACCTCAACTATGGTGCTAATGTTGCTGCTACAACCTCAACTATGGTGCTAATGTTGCTGCTACAACCTCAGCTATGGTGCTAATGTTGCTGCTACAACCTCAGCTATGGTGCTAATGTTGCTGCTACAACCTCAACTATGGTGCTAATGTTGCTGGCTACAACCTCAACTATGGTGCTAATGTTGCTGCTACAACCTCAGCTATGGTGCTAATGTTGCTGCTACAACCTCAGCTATGGTGCTAATGTTGCTGGCTACAACCTCAACTATGGTGCTAATGTTGCTGCTACAACCTCAACTATGGTGCTAATGTTGCTGCTACAACCTCAACTATGGTGCTAATGTTGCTGGCTACACCTCAACACTATGGTGCTAATGTTGCTGCTACAACCTCAACTATGGTGCTAATGTTGCTGGCTACAACCTCAACTATGGTGCTAATGTTGCTGCTACAACCTCAACTATGGTGCTAATGTTGCTGCTACAACCTCAACTATGGTGCTAATGTTGCTGGCTACAACCTCAACTATGGTGCTAATGTTGCTGGCTACAACCTCAACTATGGTGCTAATGTTGCTGCTACAACCTCAACTATGGTGCTAATGTTGCTGGCTACAACCTCAACTATGGTGCTAATGTTGCTGCTACAACCTCACTATGGTGCTAATGTTGCTGGCTACAACCTCAACTATGGTGCTAATGTTGCTGGCTACAACCTCAACTATGGTGCTAATGTTGCTGCTACAACCTCAACTATGGTGCTAATGTTGCTGGCTACAACCTCAACTATGGTGCTAATGTTGCTGCTACAACCTCAACTATGGTGCTAATGTTGCTGCTACAACCTCAGCTATGGTGCTAATGTTGCTGCTACAACCTCAACTATGGTGCTAATGTTGCTGCTACAACCTCAGCTATGGTGCTAATGTTGCTGCTACAACCTCAACTATGGTGCTAATGTTGCTGGCTACAACCTCAACTATGGTGCTAATGTTGCTGCTACAACCTCAGCTATGGTGCTAATGTTGCTGCTACAACCTCAACTATGGTGCTAATGTTGCTGCTACAACCTCAACTATGGTGCTAATGTTGCTGCTACAACCTCAGCTATGGTGCTAATGTTGCTGCTACAACCTCAGCTATGGTGCTAATGTTGCTGGCTACAACCTCAACTATGGTGCTAATGTTGCTGGCTACAACCTCAACTATGGTGCTAATGTTGCTGCTACAACCTCAGCTATGGTGCTAATGTTGCTGCTACAACCTCAGCTATGGTGCTAATGTTGCTGGCTACAACCTCAACTATGGTGCTAATGTTGCTGCTACAACCTCAACTATGGTGCTAATGTTGCTGCTACAACCTCAACTATGGTGCTAATGTTGCTGGCTACAACCTCAACTATGGTGCTAATGTTGCTGCTACAACCTCAACTATGGTGCTAATGTTGCTGGCTACAACCTCAACTATGGTGCTAATGTTGCTGCTACAACCTCAACTATGGTGCTAATGTTGCTGGCTACAACCTCAACTATGGTGCTAATGTTGCTGGCTACAACCTCAACTATGGTGCTAATGTTGCTGGCTACAACCTCAACTATGGTGCTAATGTTGCTGCTACAACCTCAACTATGGTGCTAATGTTGCTGCTACAACCTCAACTATGGTGCTAATGTTGCTGGCTACAACCTCAACTATGGTGCTAATGTTGCTGGCTACAACCTCAACTATGGTGCTAATGTTGCTGGCTACAACCTCAACTATGGTGCTAATGTTGCTGCTACAACCTCAACTATGGTGCTAATGTTGCTGCTACAACCTCAACTATGGTGCTAATGTTGCTGGCTACAACCTCAACTATGGTGCTAATGATGCTGGCTACAACCTCAACTATGGTGCTAATGTTGCTGGCTACAACCTCAACTATGGTGCTAATGTTGCTGCTACAACCTCAACTATGGTGCTAATGTTGCTGGCTACAACCTCAACTATGGTGCTAATGATGCTGCTACAACCTCAACTATGGTGCTAATGTTGCTGGCTACAACCTCAAACTAATGTGTGCTACCTAAATGTTTGCTGCTACAACCTCAACTATGGTGCTAATGTTGCTGGCTACAACCTCAACTATGGTGCTAATGTTGCTGGCTACAACCTCAACTATGGTGCTAATGTTGCTGGCTACAACCTCAACTATGGTGCTAATGTTGCTGGCTACAACCTCAACTAATGTGGTACATCAATGTTGTGGCTACAACCTCAACTATGGTGCTAATGTTGCTGCTACAACCTCAACTATGGTGCTAATGTTGCTGGCTACAACCTCAACTATGGTGCTAATGATGCTGGCTACAACCTCAACTATGGTGCTAATGTTGCTGGCTACAACCTCAACTATGGTGCTAATGTTGCTGGCTACAACCTCAACTATGGTGCTAATGTTGCTGGCTACAACCTCAACTATGGTGCTAATGTTGCTGGCTACAACCTCAACTATGGTGCTAATGTTGCTGGCTACAACCTCAACTATGGTGCTAATGTTGCTGGCTACAACCTCAACTATGGTGCTAATGTTGCTGCTACAACCTCAACTATGGTGCTAATGTTGCTGCTACAACCTCAACTATGGTGCTAATGTTGCTGGCTACAACCTCAACTATGGTGCTAATGTTGCTGGCTACAACCTCAACTATGGTGCTAATGTTGCTGGCTACAACCTCAACTATGGTGCTAATGTTGCTGGCTACAACCTCAACTATGGTGCTAATGTTGCTGGATACAACCTCAACTATGGTTCTAATGTTGCTGCTACAACCTCAACTATGGTGCTAATGTTGCTGGCTACAACCTCAACTATTTTGCTAATGTTGCTGCTACAACCTCAACTATGGTGCTAATGTTGCTGGCTACAACCTCAACTATGGTGCTAATGTTGCTGGCTACAACCTCAACTATGATGCTAATGTTGCTGCTACAACCTCAACTATGGTGCTAATGTTGCTGGCTACAACCTCAACTATGGTGCTAATGTTGCTGGCTACAACCTCAACTATGGTGCTAATGTTGCTGCTACAACCTCAACTATGGTGCTAATGTTGCTGCTACAACCTCAACTATGGTGCTAATGTTGCTGCTAAAACCTCAACTATGGTGCTAATGTTGCTGGCTACAACCTCAACTATGGTGCTAATGTTGCTGGCTACAACCTCAACTATGGTGCTAATGTTGCTGCTACAACCTCAACTATGGTGCTAATGTTGCTGGTTACAACCTCAACTATGCTGCTAATGTTGCTGGCTACAACCTCAACTATGGTGCTAATGTTGTTGGCTACAACCTCAACTATGGTGCTAATGTTGCTGGCTACAACCTCAACTATGGTGCTAATGTTGCTGGCTACAACCTCAACTATGGTGCTAATGTTGCTGCTACAACCTCAACTATGGTGCTAATGTTGCTGGTTACAACCTCAACTATGCTGCTAATGTTGCTGGCTACAACCTCAACTATGGTGCTAATGTTGCTGGCTACAACCTCAACTATGGTGCTAATGTGAGAGCAGTGAGGAAGGAGCTTGGTGGTGCTAGTATCCGTGATAGGATTATCGAGATTAACACTGTACTCGGTATTAGAATGTTAAGAAGTGAACCAGACACTGTCACTACTGTATATCTAGAGGTAAATACATATAGATCTAGATGGGTTTTGAAAACATCAGTTATATAAAATTTTATAACTTACATGAACTGTATCACTGTAGACAACATCATTTCGCCCCTCCGTGGAAGATGTGTTCATTTAATATCACATACCTGCAAGTCCCTCCCAAGAAGCTCATTGCTAGTAATACCTTCCTTAAATCACTTGTTAAAGCAACTGCTCAAGGAGAAATTTCTCACCTAGCTGGTAGTAATAAGTTACCACAAGTTATATACACTGATGGATCTAAACAGGAGTCTTCTGGCAGGGCTGCAGCTGCTCTTGTTGCTACCTCCAGCAGGAGTCTTCTGGCAGGGCTGCATCTGCTCTTGTTGCCACCTCCAGCAGGAGTCTTCTGGCAGGGCTGCAGCTGCTCTTGTTGCCACCTCCAGCAGGAGTCTTCTGGCAGGGCTGCAGCTGCTCTTGTTGCCACCTCCAGCAGGAGTCTTCTGGCAGGGCTGCATCTGCTCTTGTTGCCACCTCCAGCAGGAGTCTTCTGGCAGGGCTGCATCTGCTCTTGTTGCCACCTCCAGCAGGAGTCTTCTGGCAGGGCTGCAGCTGCTCTTGTTGCCACCTCCAGCAGGAGACTTCTGGCAGGGCTGCAGCTGCTCTTGTTCCCACCTCCCTAGTTAAGAACGATAATAAATTTGTTTAACTAGGCATAAGAATTAACAACTGGGCGTCTACACTGCAAACTGAATTGTTTGAAATCCTAATGGAGCTAAAGCTAACTTATGACACTGAGCTTGACTCAATCATCATTACTTATTCTATGTCATCATTGAAGGTTCTTGACTCATGTAATGACTCCAACAACATGTTCATTGGAGAAGCCAGGTATAGATACTCAAAAATCCGAGAAAAGGGAATTAATGTACAATTGCTATGGATCCCATCACACATTGCATTACTCCTTCATGATAAAGTTGATATGTTAGCCAAGAAGAGTACCCAGAATGAGAATGTAGAATATAACTTTGGTATATATTTGTGTCTAGCATTAGGAATAATATTAGGAAAGAACTAATAATGAAAATAATTGTTATAGGAATACAGTTAAAAGTGTGAGTAGATCTATAACCCACTATGATAACATGTTCCTAGATAAAGTATGTTTATGGAGCAACTTGCAGTCTGAACCCTGACTGTTGTAGTGGCCAGGCTTAGGCTTGGTTACAAGTGCTTCTGGCAGTTTGGCAGACACACAGATGATCAAACCAAATGCAAGGTATGTGGTCAGCCCTATGGTCACTGTCTTGAACATTATGTGCTTAATTGTCCATTTACTGATGAATATAGATAGTATAACAACATATGCGATATGTCAAGATATCTTGTTAATGAAAATAAGATACCAGATAGATTAAGCAAAATTCATAAATTTGCTTGTAATAGATAAGTGAACTGTAGATATCAATCCAGATGTTCTCCTTACAAGAGTACTTCTGGGGCCTAGTTCCTAGGCCTTTTGTGTATCCATATGCTCTTGTGCTACCATCCACAGGATGGATATGAGGTACACAATTAACTAACCACTACCATCCACAGGATGGATATGAGGTATACAATTAACTAGCCACTACCATCCACAGTATGGATATGAGGTACATAATTAACTAGCCACTACCATCCACAGTATGGATATGAGGTACATAATTAACTAGCCACTACCATCCACAGGATGGATATGAGGTACACAACTAACTAGCCACTACCATTCACAGAATGGATATGAGGTACATAATTAACTAGCCACTACCATTCACAGGATGGATATGAGGTACATAATTGACTAGCCACTACCATTCACAGGATGGATATGAGGTACATAATTAAGTAGCCACTACCATTCAAAGGATGGATATGAGGTACGTAATTAACTAGCCACTACCATCCACAGAATGGATATGAGGTACGCAATTAACTAGCCACTACCAGCCACAGGATGGATATCTAGAAATCTAAATCTTACCGTGTTCATCTCTTCAGGCCTGGGTGAGTGTGAGTGCATGCTTGCATCAGTGAGTGCATGCCTGGGTAAGTGTGAGTGTGTGATTACTTGCGTGTGTGAGCGGATACGTGAGTGCACGAGTGCGTACAGATAATGAGTGAAGTGTGAGCAGCAGCTGCTGCTGCTGCTGCTGCTGCCAGCTGGAAGGTTTCACTGCTTCCGGAAGTCAGGTTTCCGTGTCTGCCGCTGACTTGAACGATCCGGCATCTGTTACAGCAGCACACGACCCTGCACAGCACCACCACCGCTGTCACAGCAGCACACGACCCTGCACAGCACCACCGCTACCACAGCAGCACACGACCCTGCACAGCAGCACCACCACAGCTGCCACAGCAGCACACGACCCTGCACAGCACCACCACCGCTGCCACAGCAGCACACGAACCTGCACAGCACCACCACCGCTGCCGCAGCAGCACACCACCCTGCACAGCACCACCGCTGCCGCAGCAGCACACCACCCTGCACAGCACCACCACAGCTGCCACAGCAGCACACCACCCTGCACAGCACCACCTCTACCACAGCACCACACCACCCTACACAGAACCACCATAGCTGCCACAGCAGCACACGACTCTGCACAGCACCACCACCGCTACCACAGCAGCACACGACCCTACACAGTATCACCGTTACCCCAGCAGTACACAACCATGCACAGCACCACCGCTACCACAGCAGCACACGACCCTACACAGCACCACCACTACCACAGCAGCACACGACCCTGCACAGCACCACCGCTACCACAGCAGCACACGACCCTGCACAGCAGCACCACCACAGCTGCCACAGCAGCACACGACCCTGCACAGCACCACCACCGCTGCCACAGCAGCACACGAACCTGCACAGCACCACCACCGCTGCCGCAGCAGCACACCACCCTGCACAGCACCACCGCTGCCGCAGCAGCACACCACCCTGCACAGCACCACCACAGCTGCCACAGCAGCACACCACCCTGCACAGCACCACCTCTACCACAGCACCACACCACCCTACACAGAACCACCATAGCTGCCACAGCAGCACACGACTCTGCACAGCACCACCACCGCTACCACAGCAGCACACGACCCTACACAGTATCACCGTTACCCCAGCAGTACACAACCATGCACAGCACCACCGCTACCACAGCAGCACACGACCCTACACAGCACCACCACTACCACAGCAGCACACGACCCTGCACAGCACCACCTCTACCACAGCAGCACACGACCCTACACAGCACCATCTCTACCACAGCAGCACACGACCCTGCACACACCACCACCACCATCACCGCCACAGCAGCACACGACCCTCCACATCACCACCACCACCGCCACAGCAGCACACGACCATGCACTGCACCACCACCACAGCAGGATAGGCCCAGCAGCTGCACTTCAACCTTCTGGAACTCAAATATAATTTAGGATCAGTCAAGAAATGCAACGTGAAGACCTTAAATATATCTGAATGTTGAAGGTTGGTTGTCAGTGTTACTGCACGGTGGATCAATCTGTCAGTGTTACTGCACGGTGGATCAATCTGTCAGTGTTACTGCACGGTGGATCATTCTGTCAGTGTTACTGCACGGTGGATCATTCTGTCAGTGTTACTGCACGGTGGATCATTCTGTCAGTGTTACTGCACGGTGGATCATTCTGTCAGTGTTACTGCACGGTGGATCATTCTGTCAGTGTTACTGCACGGTGGATCAATCTGTCAGTGTTACTGCACGGTGGATCATTCTGTCAGTGTTACTGCACGGTGGATCATTCTGTCAGTGTTACTGCACGGTGGATCAATCTGTCAGTGTTACTGCACGGTGGATCATTCTGTCAGTGTTACTGCACGGTGGATCAATCTGTCAGTGTTACTGCACGGTGGATCAATCTGTCAGTGTTACTGCACGCTGGATCATTCTGTCAGTGTTACTGCACGGTGGATCATTCTGTCAGTGTTACTGCACGGTGGATCATTCTGTCAGTGTTACTGCACGGTGGATCATTCTGTCAGTGTTACTGCACGGTGGATCATTCTGTTAGTGTTACTGCACGGTGGATCAATCTGTCAGTGTTACTGCACGGTGGATCATTCTGTCAGTGTTACTGCACGGTGGATCATTCTGTCAGTGTTACTGCACGGTGGATCATTCTGTCAGTGTTACTGCACGGTGGATCATTCTGTCAGTGTTACTGCACGGTGGATCATTCTGTTAGTGTTACTGCACGGTGGATCAATCTGTCAGTGTTACTGCACGGTGGATCATTCTGTCAGTGTTACTGCACGGTGGATCATTCTGTCAGTGTTACTGCACGGTGGATCATTCTGTCAGTGTTACTGCACGGTGGATCATTCTGTCAGTGTTACTGCACGGTGGATCATTCTGTCAGTGTTACTGCACGGTGGATCATTCTGTCAGTGTTACTGCACGGTGGATCATTCTGTCAGTGTTACTGCACGGTGGATCATTCTGTTAGTGTTACTGCACGGTGGATCAATCTGTCAGTGTTACTGCACGGTGGATCATTCTGTCAGTGTTACTGCACGGTGGATCATTCTGTCAGTGTTACTGCACGGTGGATCATTCTGTCAGTGTTACTGCACGGTGGATCATTCTGTCAGTGTTACTGCACGGTGGATCAATCTGTCAGTGTTACTGCACGGTGGATCATTCTGTCAGTGTTACTGCACGGTGGATCATTCTGTCAGTGTTACTGCACGGTGGATCATTCTGTCAGTGTTACTGCACGGTGGATCATTCTGTCAGTGTTACTGCACGGTGGATCATTCTGTCAGTGTTACTGCACGGTGGATCATTCTGTCAGTGTTACTGCACGGTGGATCATTCTGTCAGTGTTACTGCACGGTGGATCATTCTGTCAGTGTTACTGCACGGTGGATCATTCTGTCAGTGTTACTGCACGGTGGATCAATCTGTCAGTGTTACTGCACGGTGGATCAATCTGTCAGTGTTACTGCACGGTGGATCAATCTGTCAGTGTTACTGCACGGTGGATCAATCTGTCAGTGTTACTGCACGGTGGATCAATCTGTCAGTGTTACTGCACGGTGGATCAATCTGTCAGTGTTACTGCACGGTGGATCATTCTGTCAGTGTTACTGCACGGTGGATCATTCTGTCAGTGTTACTGCACGGTGGATCAATCTGTCAGTGTTACTGCACGGTGGATCAATCTGTCAGTGTTACTGCACGGTGGATCAATCTGTCAGTGTTACTGCACGGTGGATCAATCTGTCAGTGTTACTGCACGGTGGATCATTCTGTCAGTGTTACTGCACGGTGGATCAATCTGTCAGTGTTACTGCACGGTGGATCAATCTGTCAGTGTTACTGCACGGTGGATCATTCTGTCAGTGTTACTGCACGGTGGATCATTCTGTCAGTGTTACTGCACGGTGGATCATTCTGTCAGTGTTACTGCACGGTGGATCATTCTGTCAGTGTTACTGCACGGTGGATCAATCTGTCAGTGTTACTGCACGGTGGATCAATCTGTCAGTGTTACTGCACGGTGGATCAATCTGTCAGTGTTACTGCACGGTGGATCAATCTGTCAGTGTTACTGCACGGTGGATCAATCTGTCAGTGTTACTGCACGGTGGATCAATCTGTCAGTGTTACTGCACGGTGGATCAATCTGTCAGTGTTACTGCACGGTGGATCAATCTGTCAGTGTTACTGCACGGTGGATCAATCTGTCAGTGTTACTGCACGGTGGATCAATCTGTCAGTGTTACTGCACGGTGGATCAATCTGTCAGTGTTACTGCACGGTGGATCAATCTGTCAGTGTTACTGCACGGTGGATCAATCTGTCAGTGTTACTGCACGGTGGATCAATCTGTCAGTGTTACTGCACGGTGGATCAATCTGTCAGTGTTACTGCACGGTGGATCATTCTGTCAGTGTTACTGCACGGTGGATCAATCTGTCAGTGTTACTGCACGGTGGATCAATCTGTCAGTGTTACTGCACGGTGGATCAATCTGTCAGTGTTACTGCACGGTGGATCAATCTGTCAGTGTTACTGCACGGTGGATCAATCTGTCAGTGTTACTGCACGGTGGATCAATCTGTCAGTGTTACTGCACGGTGGATCAATCTGTCAGTGTTACTGCACGGTGGATCAATCTGTCAGTGTTACTGCACGGTGGATCAATCTGTCAGTGTTACTGCACGGTGGATCAATCTGTCAGTGTTACTGCACGGTGGATCAATCTGTCAGTGTTACTGCACGGTGGATCAATCTGTCAGTGTTACTGCACGGTGGATCAATCTGTCAGTGTTACTGCACGGTGGATCATTCTGTCAGTGTTACTGCACGGTGGATCATTCTGTCAGTGTTACTGCACGGTGGATCATTCTGTCAGTGTTACTGCACGGTGGATCAATCTGTCAGTGTTACTGCACGGTGGATCATTCTGTCAGTGTTACTGCACGGTGGATCATTCTGTCAGTGTTACTGCACGGTGGATCATTCTGTCAGTGTTACTGCACGGTGGATCAATCTGTCAGTGTTACTGCACGGTGGATCAATCTGTCAGTGTTACTGCACGGTGGATCAATCTGTCAGTGTTACTGCACGGTGGATCAATCTGTCAGTGTTACTGCACGGTGGATCAATCTGTCAGTGTTACTGCACGGTGGATCAATCTGTCAGTGTTACTGCACGGGGATCAATCTGTCAGTGTTACTGCACGGTGGATCAATCTGTCAGTGTTACTGCACGGTGGATCAATCTGTCAGTGTTACTGCACGGTGGATCAATCTGTCAGTGTTACTGCACGGTGGATCAATCTGTCAGTGTTACTGCACGGTGGATCAATCTGTCAGTGTTACTGCACGGTGGATCAATCTGTCAGTGTTACTGCACGGTGGATCAATCTGTCAGTGTTACTGCACGGTGGATCAATCTGTCAGTGTTACTGCACGGTGGATCAATCTGTCAGTGTTACTGCACGGTGGATCAATCTGTCAGTGTTACTGCACGGTGGATCAATCTGTCAGTGTTACTGCACGGTGGATCAATCTGTCAGTGTTACTGCACGGTGGATCAATCTGTCAGTGTTACTGCACGGTGGATCATTCTGTCAGTGTTACTGCACGGTGGATCATTCTGTCAGTGTTACTGCACGGTGGATCATTCTGTCAGTGTTACTGCACGGTGGATCAATCTGTCAGTGTTACTGCACGGTGGATCATTCTGTCAGTGTTACTGCACGGTGGATCATTCTGTCAGTGTTACTGCACGGTGGATCATTCTGTCAGTGTTACTGCACGGTGGATCAATCTGTCAGTGTTACTGCACGGTGGATCAATCTGTCAGTGTTACTGCACGGTGGATCAATCTGTCAGTGTTACTGCACGGTGGATCAATCTGTCAGTGTTACTGCACGGTGGATCAATCTGTCAGTGTTACTGCACGGTGGATCAATCTGTCAGTGTTACTGCACGGTGGATCAATCTGTCAGTGTTACTGCACGGTGGATCAATCTGTCAGTGTTACTGCACGGTGGATCAATCTGTCAGTGTTACTGCACGGTGGATCAATCTGTCAGTGTTACTGCACGGTGGATCAATCTGTCAGTGTTACTGCACGGTGGATCAATCTGTCAGTGTTACTGCACGGTGGATCAATCTGTCAGTGTTACTGCACGGTGGATCAATCTGTCAGTGTTACTGCACGGTGGATCATTCTGTCAGTGTTACTGCACGGTGGATCATTCTGTCAGTGTTACTGCACGGTGGATCATTCTGTCAGTGTTACTGCACGGTGGATCATTCTGTCAGTGTTACTGCACGGTGGATCAATCTGTCAGTGTTACTGCACGGTGGATCAATCTGTCAGTGTTACTGCACGGTGGATCAATCTGTCAGTGTTACTGCACGGTGGATCAATCTGTCAGTGTTACTGCACGGTGGATCAATCTGTCAGTGTTACTGCACGGTGGATCAATCTGTCAGTGTTACTGCACGGTGGATCAATCTGTCAGTGTTACTGCACGGTGGATCAATCTGTCAGTGTTACTGCACGGTGGATCAATCTGTCAGTGTTACTGCACGGTGGATCAATCTGTCAGTGTTACTGCACGGTGGATCAATCTGTCAGTGTTACTGCACGGTGGATCAATCTGTCAGTGTTACTGCACGGTGGATCAATCTGTCAGTGTTACTGCACGGTGGATCAATCTGTCAGTGTTACTGCACGGTGGATCAATCTGTCAGTGTTACTGCACGGTGGATCAATCTGTCAGTGTTACTGCACGGTGGATCAATCTGTCAGTTTTACTGCACGGTGGATCAATCTGTCAGTGTTACTGCACGGTGGATCAATCTGTCAGTGTTACTGCACGGTGGATCAATCTGTCAGTGTTACTGCACGGTGGATCAATCTGTCAGTGTTACT